GCTCTCCAGGGCCCCAGCTATGTTTCCCATTATGTAACCCTGGTCATGGGCAGACAGCCAGACTCCAAATGAAAAAGAGACTCTGGCTTGGCACTGATTCTATTTTCCTATCCTCATTCGGGGTCAGCGCAGTGTCATACAGCTGCAGAGAAAGCTCTGGGGATTAAAGCTGGGAAAGCCTCCAAGACCAGGACCTGGGTTCAAGTACCAGCTGAAAGCAATAAACCAACTGCCACAGCTGGGCTAGGTTTGGATGTTCTCAAAGTCCCCTGACTCTTTCACTTACTGAGAACTAGAGATCAAGATGAGGGAAGATTTGGCCTCAGCAGAGACTGTGAAGTAAGGTGAGTCGTACCACTGCCCTGGCCTTGCCACAGGTCCTGGGATGCCAGGGCCCTCTGTGCTTATGCTCCTGGAAGTTTGCTGCTCTGCTCCTCTCCATCAGCTGACATACACACCTTTCCTCACACTCACAACAGGCCTAGTACAGAAGTTATGAAAGTGTGCTGAAGCCACGCTAACACATGGGGTAGGTAAATGGTCCTCTGAAGTTGGTGGTCTCTTCTAAACAGACCAAAGAACTTTGTACTGTTTTACGGTGGGAAAGGCCACTTTTTACACCAATCTATAATCCTCTACACCAAAAATCTCCTGAGATAGAAGCCTCCCTATTACAACCTCTAACAGGTGACACGCTGGGTCTGACTCACAGGCCTACTAAGTGCCATTTTGAGGGAAGGCACAAAGAGTCCTGTAGCTGCCTGAAGCATTCTCACAGTGCTGCTCATCCACCATCATCCTAGGTGTTCCACATGAACAGGAAGCAGAGTCATGTGGGCAAAGAGGAGAAAATAAAGGTCACTAATTACAACTTTTGAAATCCTTAGGTCAGTGGAGGATGCTGCATAAGGAAAGCGTACCAAAGAAAGACAGGGAGGGGAAATAGGGAGCAGGAGGAAATAAAGGTCCAACATGTCAGAGTGACCATCTGGGAGTGGGCTTTCTGGAGGAGAAGCAAACCTGGCCACCTTATCTCAGGGATGAAGGAGGACAAATGCAGGCAAAAACCATGGAAAGCACGCAACAGAGAGGTGCTAAGTGGCAGTCAGGACAGGTTTGCTCTGTTGAACTTTGACATCATTCCTTAACTATATCATCGAGTTGGGCTCCAAGACAGCAAGCCTTCCTTTATGCTTAAGTGTGCACTCTAAACAAGACCAGTTGCTGATAAGATGACAGAAAGAGCACAGAGGTATTTTATCCTTGATTATGCTGACATCCGGAGCCCAGACTGGAGTCAGAACACACAAAGTGGTGCTCACAGCTACAGGAACTTCTTTACTGGGCAATTAGATTCAATACATTTTGCTCTCCCTGTGAAGAAAAGTCTGAAAAGACTAAGCAAATATGATTCACGTTTCCCAACCCCAAACCCCTCCCTCTTCCCTTATCCAGCATCCCCCTTCCACCCTGCAACCTCTCTGTAGCCCAGGATGTGAAATCCAGCTGGGGATGGCCGTAGCTTAGACCACGTGCCCAGCTGCAGATTGAGTCCTTGCCCAAAGATGGGCAGCGGCTCGCAGAGCCGGCAACGGGCCATTTGCTGCAGCATCCAAAGGGAAAACAGACTCAGCACCTCAAGCATATGAAGCCCAGTACTTCCTGTGTGAGCTTTCCATTTCCTCAGCCAAATAAAAGCCAAGGGAATGGGAGGGAGGAGGGATGAAGGGAGACATGTGGCAGCAGAGAGTTAACAGACCTGACAGATCAGGCTGTGGGTGAATGGAGACTGAGTGGACTGTATCTAAGGGACCTGTGGTTGTGAGGTGAGGTGACCCAGAGAAGGCCCAGGGACAGAGGTCTGCTGCCTCATCCCTTAGGCGAAGAGAGGAAGGATTAACGAGCCCTGCTCAGGCTCAGAGACCGTGGCTTGGACACTTGGGAGAGCTGAGTCCTTTCTTGGCATTTTCTTTCAAGTCCAGACTGTTTCCACTGCTGGGAAACATGGCCCCTCCCAGCATCTCTATCACTTTCTTTTGGTGGCCCCTAGCTGCCCAGCTCAGAGCTCAACCCAGATTCACGTGGGGTGTATTTTGGAAATCTAGGAGAACACATAGGAAGGATGCAGAGAACTATACCATGCCATGAACATTATCTATTCAGTTATAGAACCAGAGCTGGGGGTGGAGGAGACAGGGACAGCAGAATTAACACTTCAAAGGTGACTGTCAGGGTGAGAAACAAGGGGGAAAAAAATCTAATTGGAGGGTTGGGGTGGGTTAGCCCACACACATCCACATAGAAAAATCAACTGCTGCTGCCTCCCCTCTGTGGTTTACCTATGGATTCAGTCACACAGCTGTTCCCCAATCCACTCCACAGAGGTGTCACGGGTATAGCCACCATCCCTCCTCTTATCCTCCTATATGCACCCCTCCTCCAGGCCCTCCCAAGAGCACAGAAGAGGATGCTGAATGACCTGAAATATACACTTACTTTCAACCCAGAGACCAGTGAGAGCCCACAATGCAGAATCGGGGTGAGGGGCACGGAGTAAAGGCAGAGAAGGAGAAAAGAAACATAAAAGGAGAAAGCAAAGCAAGGCAAATACACCCAGAGAGGTGGAGATAAGAAGAAAATGAGAAAGGGATGGACAGTGAACAAAGTCAATGAGAGAAGTAGTCTGTATGCACACACATGAAGACCCCACCGTGCATGTGAGCACCCAGTGACCCCAGTACAGAGAAAGCAGCACACGGAAACAGGCACCAAGTCAGTAAGCCTTTTCTGTGATGGACTAGAGGTAAATATGTGAGGCTCTGTGAGCCATTCAGTCTCGTGGCAACCCCCAGCTCTGGTGCTGTAGTGTGAAAGCAGGCACCAACAGAGCAGAGACAAATACACAAGGATGTGATCCAACACCACCCTAATGGACACGGAAATCTGACTTTTGCATCACTGTTACAACTCATTAAACGGTGTTCTTATGAATTTTTTTCAATCATTTAAAAATGTAAACCATTCTTAAGATTGTAGGTCATTGTTTGCTGACCCTTGATATAGATAGACACACATAACAGACGGTACAAAAGAAGCAGGCAAGGCACAGAGTCCGGGAGGCCAAGGCCAGCCAAGCCAAGCAGGCAGACATCGAAATGCACGCTCTCACAGGACACAGTTGCACACAGCAGTTCCAAGGGGATGAATGAAAACAGACTGGCATGGACCCACAATCAGACACAGACATGACCAGCTGTGATACATGAGCCTCATAAAGTGACACTGATAGGCACAGACACAGACATGAGCACATATGACCACAGATGGATGCATACAGACACAGCAAGAACCCCCAGCTATACAACTCCCCCCAGAAGCTGACACACAAAACTTTCAAAGTCAGACACTGAGACACACAGACTCACAGGCACACACAGGTAAATGGACCCAGACAAGCCTGGAGGCAGACAACCCAGGCACAGATAGAGACAAAGACACAGGCAAAAGGAACAGCTACACATGGTTGCACAATATTGTAGATGTAATTTATATAACAGAATTGTAAACTTAAAAACGATTAAGGGGGAGCTGGCACTGTGGAGCAGTGAGCTAAGCTGTTGCCTTCAATGCCAGTGTCCCATGTCGAAGTGCTGGTTAGATTCTTGGATATTCCACTTCTGACTCAGCCCCTTGCTAATGTGTCTGGGAAGGCCCAAGTGTTAGGGAATCTATTATCCATGTGGCCAGGAGTTCTAGGCTACTGGCTTCAATTTAGACCATCCTCCACTATTGTAGCCATTTAGACAGTGAACTAGTACATGGAACACAGGTCTCTTCTCTCTCATTCTGCCTTTCAAACAAATAAGTTTATCTTCAAAAAAAAAAAATTAAGAGGTGGGCACTGCAGGTTAAGCTACCACCAATGACACTGGGTCTCATACTGGAGTGCCAGTTCAAGTTCTGGCTGGTCCACTTGTGATAGAGCTCCCTGTTAATAAGAGTGGGAAGGCAAAAGATGATGCTCCACGTAGCCTGAAGCCCCTGCCGCTCACATGGGAGTCCAGGATGGAGTTCCTGCTTTTGGCCTGGCCTGGCACAGTCCTGGTTGTGGTGGTGTCTCTCACTCTCTGCAACTCTACCATTGGTTTCTTTTTTAAAGATTTATCTTATTGTGATTGGAAAGCCAGATATACAGAGACGAGGAGAGACAGAGAGGAAGATCTTCCGTCCACTGATTCACTCCTCAAGTGGCTGTAACAGCCGGAGCTGAGCTGATCTAAGGCCAGGAAGTTCTTTTGGGTTTCCCAGTGGGAGCAAGGTCCTGAGGTTTTGGGCCGTCCTTGACTGCGTTCCCAGGTCACAAGCAGAGAGCTGAATGGGAAGTGAAGTAGCTGAGACACGAACCAGTGCCATATGGTATCGCAGCACTTGCAAGGGGAGGATTAATCAGTTGGGCCATTGCACCAGTCCCTACCATGACTTTTTAAAAAGGAGAAAAGGCCCATAAAAGATACATAAACATGTACACACAGACACACCCAGGCAGCCACACATACTTCAAGACTCGCATACCCTGGCTGACAAATGCTTTGAGGAACTATGTTGAAATAAGAGACAGAAGCAAAAATGGTGAGAAGGAATGAGTGAATGAAGAGAGGCAGGCACTCACCCTTCTCACATGCTAAGATCACACGAAAGATGCACAAAGAAAAACTAAAGGGAGAGCAGGCCGGAGGTTATGTCTCTCATACACTCGTCCAGACACATCTGGACTTTAGGGGCAGCTGGGGGTTACTGCAAGTGTATGTGCAAGAGGACGAGGAACAGAACTGGGGGACAGACATAACCCAAAGCATCAAAGGACAAGGAAGGCATACATGCAAGGGAAAAACCGAAATGCACATCAAGAAGGAACAGAGAAATGGTGGGGTGTAGGTAGGAGGAAACGAAGAGGAGAGGCCGGAGCCAACAACACTGAAGGAGCGGACAGGCTGACTCACCGTGAGGGAAGATCCAGGGACGTGGGCGGGGGATTCCAGGTGTCCGGATGCCCAAGCATCCAGTCTGACCAGACTTTGACACTGGGAAGCAGTTCCTTCAGGTCTGGTACGAAGGAAGACACCTTGATGTCATCCTGGTCGTCCTGATCCTCTGGAGAAGATGGCTGAGCTGTGGAGACAGAGGGCAACAACTGGGCCTGTGTTTGCTGTGAGCCCTGAGTGAGGTCTGAGGGGCTAGGATGCTAGCACACTCTGAGGGAAAGACACCAGGTCCATAGGAAAGCTGAGTCTGGGCCTAGAAGTAGGATAAGTAAGGACAAGAGGATTCTGAAAATTAGAACAAAGAACCAGTGCACCAAGTTTGCTCCTTGAAAAGACTGTATCCACCTCACCTGGGCCTGTTGAAGTCACTGGTCTGGACTCTAGGTCATGTTCAAGCTTTCCTTCAGTCCAGTGCCAAGATGGCACCAGAGTCCCTGCCAAGACTGCATACCTGAGCTAAAAAATCATGAAGAGACAGCACAGAAACCCAAACTGTGTGTCATTCTACAAAATAAATGGCTCATATGCTTCAAAAATGTCAAGGTCATGAAAGACAAAGAAAGGTTGAGAAACCATTCTGCTTTGGAGGTACTAAAAGGATAGGGCATCTACGTGCAGTGCACGATCTCGTTTTATTCTGAAACAGCAGAGTGTTGTTTGAGGCAATAAGAATGTTACTAGGATGGCTGGTAAAAACTGAGTAACACCTGTAATATTCTATCAACATCCTGATTTCCATCAGAGATTTTAAAATGTCTCTTTTAAATATCTGTGAGTAAGCACTGCTATATCTACAAATTCAAATCAAATGGTTCAGAAGAAATGATAAGATTTAACAAATGTGTGTGTTATGTACATAGATTAAAGCAATATAATAAAATGTTAGCAGTGAGGGGGCTCTGGGGGAACAGTACATACGAATTCTTCACACTTTTTTTTGCAACTGTCTTATAAATTTGAAATTGTTTCCAAATAAAAAGGAGAAAAGGGCAACCCAACACTGGAGGCATTCGCGGGGTTGGGGTGTGTGTGTGTGTGACAGAGAGAGAGAGAGATGATGGGGTCTCATTAACTCACTTGATCTGGAATGAGGTCTTCTGTTCTACCTAACAATGATGACCACTACAACTAGACTTGGAATTCCAAAGGCAGTCATTCGAGAGATCGAATACTGCCTCAACCCAAGCACTAAAAGTCCAGTGAGTCTCCTAAAGATGCTTCTGTGTGGGCCCGGCGCGGTGGCGCAAGTGGTTAAGTCCTCGCCTAGCACGCCCGGGATCCCATATGGGCGCCGGTTCTAATCCCGGCAGCCCCGCTTCCTTTCCAGCTCCCTGCCTGTGACCCGGGAAAGCAGTCGAGGACGGCCCAAGGCTTTGGGACCCTGCACCCGCGTGGGAGACCCGGAAGGGGCTCCTGGCTTCGGATCTCGACCGTTGCGCTCACTTGGGGAGTGAATCATCGGACAGAAGATCTTCCTCTCTGTCTCTCCTCTCTGTATATCCGCCTTTCCAATGAAAAAATAATAAAAATAAATCTTTAAAAAAAGATGCTTCTGTGCTCAGCAGGTACCAGCCAAAGAGGAGCACAGAGACAGGAGGAAAACCAAAACATCAATTATGAATTAAAGTGGAAAACTATGTTTTTGAGTTTTTCTAAAGATGTAGGAACAGGGCCCAGCACAGTAACCTAGCTGCTGAAGTCCTCAACTTGAATGCTCCAGGATCCCATATGGGTGCCAATTCTAATCCCGGCAGTCCCACTTCCCATCCAGGGCCTGGGAAAGCAGCTGAGGACAGCCCTAAGCCTTGGGACCCTGCACCCAAGTGGGAGACCTAGAGGAGGTTCCTGGCTCCTGATCAGCTTCGGATCAGCACAGCACCAGCAGTTGCGGTCACTTGGGGAGTGAATCATCGGATAGCAGACCTTCCTCTCTGTCTCTCCTCCTCTATGTATATCTGACTTTGCAATAAAAGTAAATAAAAATCTTCAAAAAAAAAATGCAGAAACACATGGCATCCCATAAGCACAGGAAAATTTTAAGTGTCCAAGGAGCAAAGCAGGAGAGAACAGCTCTACTGAGAGGGATGAGGGATGACAGCCTCAAATGTAACCGGGCTGCAAGAGGAGGGGGACCAGGGAAATAGACACAGGGAAGAAAAGGAATGAACAGTAGAGAGAAGATGCTGGAAAGTGACTTGGCAATGTCAGGCCTCCTGGACTTGGCCAGGGGACCCTCCTGCTTACCTTTGGCAGACTCCTGAAGTAAGCAGGTACAGCGCCTAACCAGCAGAGAAAACATGGCCAGGCCCAGGGCAGCAGCCTGCTCCTGGATCACAGAGCGGCACTCCTCCGGGAAGCAGTCTGGGGAGGGAAAGGAAACTAGGTCAGGTCTCCGCAGCCAGCAGCAATTCTCCCCTGCTGTACGAGCTGCACATCCTAAACCTTGCTTCTCCGTCCTCATCTAGGATGGGGTGGTAACATTCCCTCTTGCCAAGGCAGACTGTACAGTAAAAGATGACAATGCACGACAAATGCTCACCAAGATGACTGGCAGATAGGTAACTGCTAATATTGTATCAGGATCATCACTGTATACTCTGCAACTCAGCACTTCCTGAAGCCCAGTCATCTTGAGGTGGGCACTGGGATTGGAGCTGCAGGGACTTTGCCTTTAACTGACTACTGCAAATGGAAAGCTATGGCAACAAAAACCCAAACTCCACTTATTCAGTCTATGTAATGTACAGTTCGCAGGAGCAACACATTAATTAAGATCAGAAAAATACAGATTTAAAACTTATCTTCTTACATCACTTATCTTTGATTTCACCCTCACTTCCGCCTAATTGAACACAGATAGCACAAACAACCTATTTTCACAGAAACAGTTCATTTCTTTTTAAGAACAGATACCACAGATTTGTGTCCCTGTGGACTAAGGGGCCTGCAAAATATTTGTGCATGCATTTGAAAGGCAGGGAGAGGAGAGTGAGAGACAGGTATCTTCCATCTGCTGGTTCCCTCCCCAGATGCCACACCAACTAGGGTTAAGCCAGTATGAATTTAGGGATCCAAATATTTGAGCTATTACCTGATGTCACTCAGGATGCATAACAGTAGGAAACTGGATCAATGGTGCAGCCATGACTAGAACCTAGGGATGCCAATATGGGACACAGGCATACTAAATGGCAGCCCAACTGCTGTACCAAATGCCTGCCCCCTGCAGACTCATTTTTTAAAAAAGTGTATTTACTTCAAAGGCAGAGAGAAGAGATTCCCCATCCATTGGCTCATTTTCCAAATGCCTGCAACATCCAGGACCAGGCTGGATAAAGCCAGGAGCTTGGGTTTCCACCCAGGTTTCCCATGTGGGTAACAAGGACCTGAGTACTGAAGCCATCCCTTGCTGCCTCCAGGATGCACATTAGCAGGAAGGTGAAAACAAGGAATGTAGCTGAGACTGGAACACAGACACTGTGGATATGAGGCATGGCCATCCCAAGTGGCATCTTTTTTTTTTTTTCTATTAGAAAGGCAGATTTACAGAGACAGGAGACACAAAAAGATTTCCCATCCACTGATTCACCTCCCAAATGGCTACAATGGTCAAAGCTCAGTTGATCTGAAGCTGGCAGCTAGGAGCTGCTTCTGGGTGTCCCACATGGGTGCAGGGTCCCAAGGTACTGGGGCCACCCTCCACTAATTTCCCAGGCCGTAAGCAGGAAAGCTGGATCAGAAGTGCAATCAGGACGTGAAGGGGCACCCAAATGGGATGCTAGCAACACAGAGTGAAGGATTAGCCAGTTGCATCACCATGCTGGGCCCCCCAAAATGGTATATTAACTGTGGCATCCAATGCCGGCCTCCAGAAAGAATTAAATTTTATGTAACAGTAGTCGGTAATTAGTCAATGTTAGTTTGATTTTCTTTGTATGTATAAATTCTTATTCCCACAGCTAAAAAATAAATTGGGCTCCACATATCAGCATGCTTGTTTCTTCACAGGTCACTGACAGGAACTGTCTCTTGACAGACAGCCTTTGGTGGGAGCTACTTACACTCTCAAACCCTTGCCCAGTGCATCTGAACTGAAGAGTCAGTGCAACCAGAAGAAAGCAGCCTAGTCTGCAGCCTGAGAGGAGGAGCCAAGCCAACACCGCAGGAGACGGGGCAAGGGCCAGGCTCACCATCTCAGCAGCAACTGATCTGTGAATTCTCTCTTTAACACAGAACTCTCAGCCTCTCTTAGTGTTAAAAGGATAATTAGTCACATGTTTGATCTCTGTCCCTGCTTGTGTTTTAGCCTCAGTAGCCAAGAGGGAGACCTCTGCTAGCTCACTGGTCTTGTCATTACAACCTAATTGAAGCTGTTATTCCAGGAGATGTTACACAACCACAGCTATTCCTAGCAGTCTTCAATATAGGAGCAAGTGTGACTGCAGTATACAAAGCCAGACCCCCAAAGCACTTCGAAAAGCCTAAGAAGGAGCCAACTGCTGCTCTGAAGGTTCCAACAAGCAAACAGCATCAGTGCAGCAATTCTTTTGTGCCTTTTCCACTGTCCTTCCAGATGCACATTGGTCCCAAATGTTACCTCTAATATTGCAACAGTGGTTGGCAGCAAGAATGTAGTAACAATCCATGTGACTAGAATTGCTCACTAGTTTTAATTCTCTTCTGGTAAGACACTAACTCTATTCAATAGAAAAGAAGCATCCAACAACCAAGAGAAGGAAGGATAGAAAGAAATGCAGGAAAAGATGTGCAAGCCATCCCAAAGCAAGTTGCCAACCTCATCACTCCACCCGTGGAGCAACAGTACTGTCAGTTCCACCCCAGTCAGGCACTGCCAGCAGCCTGTCTCTAATTAGCCACAAAGCCTGGAATGAGGGAATAAATCCAGAACAGAGGAAGCTGGGATAGAATAAGTGGAGGCCACATCCTGGAAGTTGACACAGAGTCAACATTTTTGTACTTTTGTCAAGTGGGCATCTTGGCAGAAGTTATTCACATGCCCAAGGCGAGACGGAATGGAGTTGGAGGGAGGGTGTGTCCCAGTTCCAAAAGTATGGCATTTTGAAAAGCATAAGGCTACAGTAAGACACTCTCAGTAGCCATGAGAAGGGTAGGAGATGATTCCTACGAAGCCCTTTTCTACTTTCAGGACAAATAACAATCTAAGGATAGAGTGCCTCTCAGAGTTCCAGATGGGATACACAGACTCAACGGTGAGAAAGAGCTGCTTAAGAGCAATGACACCTGCTCACCTCTGGCATCTTCCCTCAAGCTTCCTGCAGAAAGGTCTGGCGTAAGGTAGAGTCAGACTGATGGTAAGGTACAAACCAGTTGGCTGTTCTGCCCTGATGAAGCAGGTAGAGGTATCACAATCTGTCTAAGGGTCAGACTGGCTGTGTTAACTGGAAGGCCTGCCTTTCTCCATGCCTCAGTTATGAGCATTGTCACGTGTTAAGACCCCGTACTGTGTATTGTGAAGAACCCACTGCACATAAAACATGATCTCTGCAACCACAGCACCTCTCCACAGGGTAAAGGAAAATCATCATGTTCCCAAGCAACAACAGCAACTTGGATCCAGGGCCTCCAGAAAAAAATGTGCTTGGTGTAGGTATCTTCAAGGGATGCTCCTGGCCTCCCACTGGCTTCCACCGCCTAGAAGCTATAATGCCCCACTCCTCCCTTCAGAGTCTTCACTGCTGCACATGTGGGTGGAAAAACAGCATCTGCTTTCCTGGGCTCCACCCACTTCAAGGCGAGACCTAGGATACCAGCCCCAGTCTGACGCATGCCCATATACTTCCCTAAAGTCGGGCTGGGTCAGGCCAACAAACCACATGGGGTTGCAGAGGAAAAGGCATTGTTTGCCTTGGTATTTGCCTGGGTTCCTCTGGCTTTGTGTCAGGTAGCAGGAGCATGACTGAGCTGAGGAACTCATTAACACTGTGAAATGGCCTTTCCCCTTCTTTCCAAAAGCAGGCTTGCTCAAAGTTTAGGGGGATGGTTTTGACTAAGGAAGTCAGACGGAAATATTTCTTACCAAGAAAGTCACCTGAGGCCTGAACTTGGATCTGTCCCTCCCCACATGTGGGCAGGTGACTGTAGATCTCAATATTCTTGTGGCCAAATACCTGCAAAGTCCAATATTCTTTTAACTCCCATGTAACAGGGATACTTTTTCATCTTTCTGAGAGCATATTCATGGAAAACATAAACCAACTGTCGTCAAAGTTGTATGAAATCAGGAAATGGAGCGGCCGGGAGAAGGCTGCCATGTGGCCGGATGTTATGTATTTCTAATTAGTGCTATACATCTTTCAACAGCAAGTGTCCTTCTGCTGGGAAACACAACACACTGCCCTTGTTATTGTAACTGTCAGAGAAGTGCTTAAACAGATAATCTCCAGGAAAAGTGATAAACACGTCCCCTCTCCCACCAGTGTGTGTGCGATGGTGCTGCCAAAGCAAAGCTGTGCCTGACGGCTCCAGGATGGCAAAGCATGCTCCAGCAGGAAATGGGAGTGAGGCAGCAGGGCTGCTGAGAGAAAGAGAGGGAAGAGCAGGGAAGGGTGGGGAGGGGAGGCAGGCCCACCTGCATGGACCTCTAAGCCTAGCCAAGAAGCAATGGTTCAAGACCCTGTGCTTCTGTTCCACTCCTGAAACAGGGTAGCGAGTGTTTATCACAGAGATGTTTGGGGAGAAACACTATTAGTGAAGTGGTGTTTGGTTGATCACAACAAAATCTGGCTGTGCTGGAAGTAGCAGAGTTCCCTTGGCACACACAGCCAGCTGTGCACTGGCAAGAGGATGAGGGGAGTAGCAACGGAAAGACATGGGACAGGCAGCACATAGAGTCTGATACCCTGGCAACAGCAGAAGGGATGTGGATGGCTCTGGGACCCACAAGCCATTCTGGCAGAGCAAACCACCTCTCTACTGACTGCTTCACCAACAAGTGGAGAAAAATGTAGGCAAGACCATCCATTTGCCCATTTCCTCTCCACAGGCTCTCCCCTAGAGAGGAAATGAACGGTCAGTCACCTCTAAACTAACACCACCTGGAGGCGATTTGTTGGCTCTTATCTTTCAGACATAAGGCTGCTTTTCTCATGAGTCAGTCACCAGTCAGACACAGGGTTGGCACCGTTCCTGAGCAGCCCACCAAAACCTCCTTGTCTACGGGAAGTGGGCAGTGAGAGCATCTTTCAACCGCTGCTACATGAAGCAAAGTTGCCTGTGGCAGCTCCTGGCTGCAGAACAGGAGGGGGAGGCACTACATAGGAACCAGATAGATCTCTGAGCAAAAGCAGAGATGCCCATGCCCCCTAGGGCATGGTTTTATT